GGAAGGATTTGCAAGACCATATGTTTTTATTACGTATCTTCAACTGATTTAGTTATGGGACAGATGTTATCTAGGAAGTATCTAATCTCACCATTTATTTAGGCAATACCTGGTTCTATACTGACCATCTGTCACATAACAAACTCAATAGCAACTCCAGACAAGTTACAGGACAAGATACATTTCTTGCCTGACACCTGTCTTAATATAAATCAGTTCATTACCTTCTGTTTATTTTTACCTCACCTTTTGCATTCTGATAGAGATGTTTAATAATTTGAATTATTATGCAGAAGACTTTATAGAGTCTGTTGTCTGCCTCTCTGACTGGCTTTCCACACTATCAAATGCCTTTTGGAAATTTCCAAAATTCATGACTACTGGTAGCTGTCATTCATTACTTTGTATTACAGGATTGTGCAAAACCACAGGGGATGTTACTGCAGAAAGAAAGCAAACTAAATTAAATTGACTTAATGCCTTTGCATGAAAACCTGGTTTGCATAGGATCAGTTTGGGCAAAAACCTGTTTGTTGCTCTTTAACTCTGCTATCCATGACATCTCTAAATCTATTCAGGATGGATGCACAGAACACTTGCTCTGGGACTGAAAGCAGTGTAATTCTGTGTCAGCTGTTGCAGTCCTTCAAATCTCCATTTTTAGGCACTTGATAATGAGATACAGTCCTTCCCTCAGATCAAATTGAAGAGGTGCATCAGGATTTCCATATTATCTTCCCCAGTTACCATAAGCACTTCTGCTGTGATTTGCATTTCATCTTGTGATTTCCTGTTCTTCAGTCTTTCACTGCATTCTTTAACTATATCCAAAGTAATTTATTCACAGTGGGCGCTTCTACATGTGCCCTTCTGGCACCATTTACTGTGCTGTCATTTAGTATTCCAAAAGTAAGTACCAAATGACGAAGTGACACCCTGTACTGCACCATGTGTGCAACACATCGTTATTTTTAGCTGCTACATCGCTGTAGCGGTGAGCTGTACTTTGGGAGCGTGTCACAACAGTGACATAGCTGCAGCATCAAGGCTTTTGGCTGTAGACACTACGTTGCCATAGTGCATTGCTACAGCAATATAGCATCATATGTAGATACTAAGCATCAAGATGCCATCTTCCATGCATTATCACATTTAAATATTATTTGTGGGGGAGAGGGGATTTTCTAAAGGGTGACATGGAGTTGTTCTGTCCATCTTTTCTTTTGCTTATGTAAGATAATAAGTTTTCCCTTGTTGACTTTCCCTGCTATAGCTAATAACCTCTAGCAAGTTCTTTAGTTTGATCAAGTATTCGCATGTCTCCCTTCATTGCTGCCATCCCTGCTTCTAAAGCTGAACCCCCATTATATGCTCGTTTATCCTTCAGACTGATCTTTCTACTGCTTTATCTTTATCCTCATATTCCTCTTTTAGTTGTTTAGCTTTCTCTGCCCGTAAGGCATCAAGTAGATTTAATTTAGCCTGTTCTCTTTCTGCAAATCCCATATGGTATTGCTAATCTGCTTGTCTTTCCTACCTCTACTAAAACAAGGATGGTCTCTGCTCTAGTAATATAAGATTTTACAATGGTTGTTCATACTTTAAAAAAAAAATTCACCAAAAATACTTTCTCCCAGAGCACTTATTTGGAAGCTGGAATTCAAAGTCCTTCCTTTATGACAGCCTACACCTCTCTCCGCTGGGGAGGAAGCTAAACTCTTCTCAGCCAGACTGGCTGACCTGCTCCACTGGGCTTTAAACTAAGCCCGCTGGGGGATGGGGGGACTACCACCACTGCTGGCCCACTGAGCAACCCTTGCAAAGCCAGCAGACCAAGGCACTTAAGGGAGCCCACCCCTGCCCCAGCCCTGGAATGAACTGTAGGGAAGGCAAGGGCCCCCAAGAGGACACTTAAAGATGAACATGATCCCTCAGGGCTCTGTCCTAGGGCCTTTACTTTTTAACATCTTCATCAATGATGTGGACATTGGTGTCAGAAGCGTCAAGTTCGCTGACGACACCAAACTCTGGTGTAAAGCATCCACACCTGAGGACAGGAGGGTGATCCAGGCAGATCTTGAGAGGCTCAGCCTTTGAGGCTCTCTAGAGGGGTCTCTCTGCTCCCTCAGCTGGGTCAGCTCACTCCAGCTCTTCTTAGGGCTCCTGCGTTTTTCCCTGGGGTCGCTGTCAACAGCCCCCCATACCAGTTCGGCTGCTGCTTTTATCCCCTTTTTGCAAACCGGCCAACCAGGGCTCAGAGTGGCTGGCCCCCCACTCTGGCCATCCCTCTTCCATGCAAATGAGGGGACTGAAAACCCATTCTTTCAGCTGGCTTCTCCATTTCCACAGGGCAGGGCAGGACTCCCCTGCTCCACCCTTGGGGTCGCTCAGAGTTCACCCACACTGTTTCTAGCCCAGGGTAAGTATCTCAAGCAGATCTGGTGAGCCCACATTGGCAGTCTGTTACAGGGAGAAATGCAAGGTGCTCCATCTTGGGGGAACCCTCCCCCACATCACACTTATAGGCTCGGCTAGCACCATGACTGAAAGAGACCTGGGGGTCATGACTGACCACAAGATGAATGTGAGCCACCAATGTGATGCTGCAGCTGGCAGAGTGAACAAAACTCTGGCTTGCATCTACCGACGCGTCTCAAGCAAGACCCAGGATGCCATCCTCCCACTGTACTCATCCTTGGTGAGGCCACAGCTGGAGTACTGCATCCAGTTCTGAGCTCCACAATTCAAGGAGGATGGGGAGAAGCTTGAGAGAGTGCAGAGGAGAGCCACGCGCATGATCAGAGGGCAAGAGAACAGACCTTATGATGAGAGGCTGCAAGCTACGGGACTCTTCAGCCTGGAGATGTACAGGCTCAGGGGTGACCTGGCAGCAGCCTATAAGTACAAAAGGGGTGTGCATCAGGGTCTGGGGGAATGACTGTTCACCAGAGCACCCCAGGGGATGACAAGGTCCAATGGTCACGAACTCCCGGAAGACCGTTTTAGGCTGGACATGAGAAAAACTTCTTTACTGTCTGAGATCCCAAGGCCTGGAACAGACTCCCCACAGAAATGGTCCAAGCACCTACACTGGGCACTTTTAAGAAACACTTGGACACTTATGTTTCTGGGGTCCTTTGACCCTAGCTGACTTCCTGCCCCTTAGACAGGGGTCTGGACCCGATGATCTTATGAGGGCTCTTCCAGCCTTAATGTCTATGAAATCTATGAAATCAAAAGTAAAATCTTCACGCCACTCACAGGGAACTGAACAGTGAGAAGGCTTGGATCCCTAGCTGCTGCTACTCAATTACTTAATATATGAAAAGTTCTCTTTTAATTCATTCTGCCTGCATCTACACACAATGCTGACTGAGCATTTGTTATGGTGCAGTGATTTACTACTTGTGTAAACAAGTACTAAATTACTGCGCAGTAACCTGAGTTACTGCACAGTAGCACTGACAAACATCTTTTTTGTGATGCTACTGCGCAGTAGCCTAATACTACTGCACAGTACCGTCGCATCACGGTTTTTGGCACATGACGCTACAGCACAGTAATATTGGGCTGCTGCACAGTCAGCATCTCATGTAGATGTGGCGTTTGTCTTTCAAAACAAGATGTATATTTTATTCTGGGGTATACAGTATTATCAGGTGAGATCCACTTTATGGATCTCATTATAAGGACAGAATGTCCCTACATCAATTAGATAGTTCAGTTATTCCTGAATGCACTCACCATTATTGGAAAGTGACCCACTTCTGTGTGTTCCCAGTATAGCCCTCTTCCCCATAAGGGAATTCATACCTCTGATTGATACTTTTATGTACTGGGGCCATACTGATGAGGTCCTGCAGAAGGTTATAGAAAGTATTCTTTCCCTCATTACATTTAAGGCACAACATTGAATGATGGTCTGTTTCAAATAGTGTAGTTGAAATCTGGCTCAAATAATTCTACTGTTAAGTGATTTCTAGTTAAAATGTTTCTACAGTATCATATAGGATCACTCAAATTTCTTCTCTTCCTAATCTAGGGTTGCTGAATAAATCATAGTTTTATTGTTTCTCATTTTGAATAAATCTGGACAGATGCATATATTTTTATTAGGAAGTCTATGTTACATTGTCCATGTTTCCATTTCAGTGTATGTTTCCATTTCTTTAACAGGTTTTGGCTATTTTCTGATCAATTATCTGCATTTGGCATCTTATTGGATTTTTTTAGACTCAGACTTAAGCATGTATATAATTAAATATGTGCTTAAATACTTTGTGGGATACCTTAGGGATTGGGATATGTGCTTAAATACTTTATGGAATACCTTGGGATTTATGTAAAGAAATGAAACACCTGTAAAACTGTCTGTCCCTCATTCTGTCCAGCCAGCCAGTCATCTCTCTAGACCCTTGTTGCTGTAACATCTGAATGCCAGAAAATATTTTAAAGGAGAATTGGCTATCTAGTAAAACAAAAATAAAGCAAACTATCATAGAATTCTGGGTAAATCATAGCATTGTAGAAAGTTAGGGTTGGAAGTGACCTCGGGAGGTCATCTAGTCCAACCCCCTGCTCAGAGCAGGACCATCCCCAACTAGATCATCCCAGCCAAAGCTTTGCCTAGCCAGGTTTTGAAAACCTACAAGGATGGAGCTTCCACCACCTCTCTAGGTAAACTGTTCCACTGCTTTTCTACCCTCCTAGTGAGAATTTTTTTCCTAATATCTAACCTAAACTTCCCTTACGGCAACTTGAGACCATTGCTCCTTGTTCTGTCATCAGCCACCACTGAGAACAGTCCAGCTCCATCCTCTTTCAAACCCCCATTCAGGTAATTGACGGCTGTTATTAAGTCCCCTCTCAGTCTCCTTTTCTCTAGACTATATAAGCCCAGTTCTCTCAGACTTTCCGCATAAGTCATATGCCCCAGGCCCCTTACCATTTTTGCTGCCCTCCACTTGATTCTCTCCAATTTGTCCACATCCTTTCTGTAGTGGGACACCAAAAACTGAACACTGTACTCCAGAAATTACTGCCAGTGTCAGTACTGACCAGAAAAAAAAAAGAAAAGAAAGAAATGACTTTAGCCACCTAAAAGCATTTTTGGAAAGAAGGGGGGGGGGGAGGTAAGCACTATACTTTTTATCATCCTATTCATGTAATTATTCTTTTTCTAGCATCATTCAGAGAGCTGCCATGTATAATGCTGTATACTATATGCCCTAAACCTAACTTCTAGGACAGCTTTCAGGAAAATTATTAAAGTATATCCAAAAGTGCATACCTTTGGAGCCATTTTCTTCAGCTGCTATATTTGTTAAGTAGTTTCTTGCAAAGAAGTACAGTTCAGCTTGCAGTCTTGCAAAGGCCCAGGAGGGGAAGCATTGCAGATGGCAGATCTTTGTTATGCTAGCGGAACATAGCCACTGCTACTCCTTTTGAGAGGATACAGAAACCTGCTGTCTCTGTTGCACTATTCTGTCCGCTGCAGAAGAGCATTAGAAACTTGTCTATCCCTTTCCCCCCACCTACTTTGTCCTTTTTGGAGATGGCACCATTGTATGAATAGTTAAAACTCTCAAGAAAAGGCTACACCTCCAGTAATGGCTGGTCCTTACAGTGGAGACCCTTGGATCCCTCCCTTGTTAATTAGCTATTTATTATTAGCCAACACATCCTCAAGAAAAAAACCATTGAAGGGAGTTAAATGGTTCAAACAGAATCCAGGATGGGGCTATGATTTTACAGAGAAAGAAGGGGAAAATCACCTTTTTGTTTTATACAAAATGGTCATAAAGCAGGGTCATTACTGATCTCTCCTTTGATGACCTCAGTTAAACTGTTCAATGATCATTTCCTGGCTTCATGGCAGTGAAGCTACTGTAGGTCATGTTACCGGATGGCTTTGCCAGCTTCATTCACGCACTGCTAACAAATTCAGCAGACAGTCTCAGTCGGCAACCAACAGATAAACAGCCACTCAGACTGATTTTTGTGACTTTAATTTAAATCAAAGGTTCTTGGGCAAGCGCCCTAACCAGTCTCTCTTCCCTCCTGCAGCTCACATTCTGCTGTTCATCCTAGATACAACCTAAATGACAAGACCCTTTGTGCATCAAACTTGTACCTTATGCTGCTCCATTAAAAAAAAAGTCTGCAATTAAACTGTGCAGCACTTGACAAGCAGTATGTTTTGCTGGCCCTTCTGAGGTAATTATATGCCAATAGGTACTGAGCACAATGAGAGGTGTAATATTAGGTAAGTACTTTCATACACTGCAAAGTATAAATCACAGGCAGTGCAAATACAGTATGATGAACTATCATGAGAGTTACATATTTCCAGAGTGTAATTGCAACCATATAGCTCAGTCTCTCTATATTGAGAATAGCTCTGAAATGAATGGGCTTCAATACGCTGTCATTCATTCCAGCTAAACACCAATCTAAGTCAGTTTCTTTTGATTTGCACTGGTGTAAGTGACAGAAGAATCAAGCCCTGTATATGATTCCAGGTAGGTATAGACTGCTAAAATAGCATGCAAAGTCCTTTTAAGAACAAAAAAATCCCATGGATTTTAAAAGCTATGTGGTGCCTAGGTGTTCCTGTAGTTTGCTGGGGGGGAGGTGAGTGCTTGCAAATCACTTCTTGTGGGTTCTGCACAGCAGCTGGAAACAGTTGCAGCCCATGCAGTGCCCCAAGAATGAAGATGGTTCCCTTCTAGCTCCTCCTCTAAGCCAGTGCTCTCCAAACTTTTTTGATTGCACACCCCTATCAGTAAAAAATATATGAGCATGCACCCCCAATATATGTATATTTATATTCGCGCACCCCATCAATAAAACATTTTTGAGCATGCACCACCAATATATGTATTTTTATATAAATAAAAATAGAAATAGAAGTTCTAATATTTTCTTCCCGCACCCCAATGGATCATCTTGTGTGCACCCCACTTTGCAGACCACTGCTCTACGCTTTTGGGGAAGACAAACGACTATGGCTCCCTGTCACAGCATGTGTATGGAAGTGTGCTGCTGCATAAAATGGGGCATAAAATGAGGGGCAGCCCTCCTCAGTGCTGGACAACCATGGTAGGTCTTCTGACCATGAGATCATGACTTCTTTTCCCACAAGTTTCACGTTTCCTTGGCACAGGTCACTGCCCCAAAAAGTATAACCCAACTTTAAAATAGCAAACTGTATTTCCTCCTAGAGCAGTGCCAGAGTCCAATTTTCTTTTTGATTTCCTTTTTTAAATTTTTTTTTGTGAAAGATGCACAGAATCATAGAAAATAGGGCTGGAAGGGAAACTGAAAAATCATTTAGCCCACCCCTCTACGCAAAGACAGGATCGACTATACCCGAACAGTTCTGCCAGATGTTTTTTTAACCTGTTCATTAATATCTCCAGAGTCACCCGATGTTATCTGTTCCAGTGGTTCAGTATTCTGAGGGTGACGTTACACATTTCATTTAGACTATACTGAATCTGTGAAATATTAAGTGATGTTAAAGTTAGAATGTGTTGTGAACAACCACGTTAAGGGTTCATACTGTTTCTTGCCTGCCTAGCTCTGTCTTGCCACTAGAGGGCTGTCAGGTAGAGGCACAGCTAAAAGTCAAGACACCTGGGATGCTGGAGGACTGCAAAACTGTGTTTCCATGAAGAAGGCTAAAGTTATCCTAGCACAAACTAGGTAGCACAGCCTAGAGTTAACTGTTGCCTGAAGCTGCAAAACTTTGAGACAGTCAGAGAGCCCTTAGCATGAGTTATTAAGTTTTAACATGCAGACGGTTGCTTTATAAGTGTACTTAGTATGGTCTAAGTGTAACATGTAACTTCATCCTTAAAGTTAGAGAGTTTTGCCTGAAGTCCAAACTAAATCTTCCCAGGTGGAATTCAATCCTTTATTTGTCCTATCCCCACTGGACATGAAGACTGGTTTATAACCTTTCTCTCAGCAGTAACGTTTACATATTAAAACAGTTACCATATTTATTTTCAGTGTTCTCTTGCCTAGATTGAAGAAACCCAAATGTACAAATTTACCTTGCATTTTCTAAACTTCTGATTTTTTATTTATTTATTTTGGTGTTCCTTTTCTCTGGATGCTTTTTAGTTGGCCCACATATTTTTTGAAGTGTGGTTTCCAAAACTGGATACTGTATTCCAATTGAGGAAAATGGAAGGATTACTTCACGTGTCTTACACAGTCTCCTTCACCTTCTCATGCTTGGAGGTATGATCTTTGGGGTTTTTTTCATGATATTGTTGACTCACATTATGTTTCTGATCCCCTATAACCCCACATCCTTTTGTACAGAACTTCTGCCTGAGCAGTTGTTCCCTATTTATTATATGTGCAGTTAATTATTCCTTCATTCCTAAGGGTATGTCTGCACATGCAAACAAGCATGACTAAATTTAATGCATATTTAATTAATGTGCATTAAATGATTTTTGGCAGGTGTTTACTAAAGTTAGTCCCAAATCCCTCCAGTCCTGCCATGTGCCCTTGTGGCCACCGGGGGGAGCTCCAGCCTCTGGCTGCATGGCTGCCAGCACTCCAGCCTCTGGCTGCATGGCTGCCAGCTGCCAGTCAGGGCTGCTCCAGCCTCTGCCTCTGCCCCTCCCCTGCCAGCAATGCCTAGCACCCCAGTGCTCCATCCCATCCTCTGCCAGTAACAACCACACACTCACCAATGGGGATCAGGACACTGGCTGTGGAAAGCCCTGGATAACCCCCCTCCTCCAGCCTGGCTGCCCTGCTGCCCACATACTCCCTACCCCCTGCTCATCCCCAGCCTCATCTGCAGGCCAGGCACATGTCTGAAACAGACAAACAAAAAACCTTATTACCCTCACAACAAACAGAACACTCTCTCCCCACCCTCCTCAACCAACAGTGTCCCTCCACCACCCTCCCCATCCAGCAACAATAAAAACCCACTTCCAAGTGGAAAACTATATGCAAGTGGGAAACTATATACAATAATTTGGGTGTTCAAGCCCAGAGGGCCATGAGGAAGTCTAGGGTGCAGAGCCCTGGGGCAGGTGTCCAGCACCACAGCCCCTGGATGTTCTCCCATGGGTCCAGGGGCTATGGTGACCCCAGCTCATGGCAGCCTCATGCATGGTGCAGGGAGAGTGGCAGGTCTGGGCTCAGGTGGGTGGTGACAGGTCTGGGGTGGGGTCTGAGCCAGGGGGTCTGGCAGGCAGGAGGTGCCCAAGAACCTCCTCCCAGGACCAGGAAGGGGCCTACTGTGGGGCAGTGGGTGGGACCCAGGGGTCATGTGGGGCCATGGGCAGGGGCTGGGAAGTAGGGGACATGTACACAGCTGCCAGGGCCAGGAGGGTGTCCATGGCCTGGAAGTTGGAGTTCTCCTGCTGCTGGAGCTGCTCCAGGTGCTTCTGCTCTAGGTCCTCCATGCAGATCCAGTGGTCCCGATGCACCCAGTCCTCATCTCCACCTGGGCAATGTCCTATGCCCACCAGGCCTGCTCCCATGCCTCCTGTGCCTGCTCCAACACATTCTGCTCCCCTGTCACTGCCACCAGCTGCTGGAGCAGAAAAGTCCAGTCCCTAGTGTGCCACTGATGCAGCTGGCACATCTGAATGGCTCCAGCAGTGGGTGGCAGCAACCCAGAGCCTACATCCCCACTGGGGCTTGTAGGCTCTCCCCTGTGTCCAGATGTTGGCTCTTCAGAGGCAAGAGACAGAAAGCCTTTTGTGAGAGTTTGCAACATTTCAGAGATAAGATGCTCTACATCAGAGGCCGAACACTGCCTGGCCTCAGATTGGGGTTTGGCTGGGTATGGGTGCCCAGGGACCATGATAAGCTAGCCAGGCAGGTCTGGACCCAGGCAGCTGCTGCCTGAGCCCCACATCCCCACATGCTTCCCTGGAACTATTGGCCCACTGCGTGCTGGCTGCAAGCAGCCTGCCTCCTCCAGCCCCTTCCCAGGGGAGATAGGCCATGCTACTGGCAGCACCTGTTGCTGATGCTCCAGACCCCGATCTCTCCCTCTCTCCCTACAGTTCAGTTGCCCTGCTGTACTAC